GACTCGACAGACAGCTTATCCGACGAGAACAAATACCTTCACCGTGTTTTTACGAAGAACAACTACAACAACGACTTCATCCGACGAAACACTCACCGACCCACTACCACTACCGAAACAAACGACACCGCAACCCCTACGACTACAGCAACCATACCGTACATAAAAGGCATGTCTGAAAACATCTCGCGCATCTTACTACCCTTCAATATCCGCGTCGCCCACAAACCCATCACCACACTACGTCAGTTACTAACCAACGTTAAAGACAAAGACGAACCGAGGAACAGACAGGGAACGATTTATAAGATCAATTGTTCCGACTGCCAAGCCTCCTACATCGGTGAGACTGGCAGAAACCTCACAACAAGACTGACTGAACACAGACGGGCGACGAGGAAAGGTGATGTCAGCAATCACATTGCTGAACACCATCGACTTACCAACCACAACATTGACTGGGACTCTGCGCAATGCCTAACCTACAGCACTGACTATTTTCAACGACTGACTCTGGAAAGCTGGTTTACTAACTTAGAACAGACTCCCCTAAACAGATGTCAACAACTACCCGCCCCATACAAACGACTCATTCACGACATAAACATCACAAACGACCGAAAAAGAACGACCTAACTTTACCGACAGATCGAAACAGACCAATCACGACCGACTTACGTCACTTGAGTCTTACAGCCAATAACATCACGGCAAAACCAACCGATCATTTCACACGAACTGGAATAAGAACATTCTACTGACAACAATCATTCACTTGACTCTGATGATGACTTCCGCACAGGTTGTCGAAACGTCAGTCACTACCACCGACAACAGTCCTTCTCAGGACTACACTCACCCGGACGATCAGACTACACCTTCACAGATTAACGGATGATTGGCGAAACATTCATTGGCAACTAAAATCGGTGACATCTCGCCAGCGGCTCGTCTTCCATTTATCATCAAATTTCTAATGTCACCTGACAGACACACAGCGACAGAAACAATTCCACATTAAGTATTTTCCATTTAGCCCAACGCAAATTAAGTGCGTTTTACGTTTACCTTTTACAAAACATTTTTAAATAAAATAAGGAATGCTGCGACTGGCGGTTCCCGACAACGGTGTTTAATTTCCATTCAAAAACCCCCTCGAAGCAGCAACTCTCTTATCCAGTGTCCCAGCACCTCCTTAACTTGACCCTAACTTGGGTCTAAACAGTTGCTTTCCTTTATAATTATTCCTTTTTTTTTTTTTTATTTGGCTCTATTTCAGGCACACCTCATTACATGCCTCCCGAGTACAGCCAATCAAAGAAATACGACGGTTGTCAGGGTACGGTTTGGCAAATGGGAATCCTACTAGTGGACATGTTATCACCAGAAATACCAGCATTCAAACATTCGCATCTGGCCCTCAGAATACCACCTACAGTGCCCCAACATCTCTCAACAGGTATTTTAGTTGCTGATTTTATTCTTCTTCTTTCCTTTCTGTAAAATCTTAAGTTAGGGCCTTTGACGCGGGAATGCAGGTCGACATTATCAATTGACGTATCTCGTTTTCTTTTGAACAGACGCAAAGGATCTTATCTACTCGCTGCTGGACACAACTCCAGGCAATCGCCCAACTCTTAAGCAAACTCTGAAACACCCATGGCTCGTCGGAACAGACTAAAATACTGCTGCACTGCTTCTATCAACACTACCTAGAAATCCCTGCCGAGGACATTATCTATTAAGTACGTGAATGAGCTGGATTGTGAAAACCAAAAAATAAGTAAAATAAATCGGTGTAGGTTTTGTAACTAAGTTCTGACAGTCGAGTCTTTCACTTCGCATTGATAAAGAAGAAAAAAAAAGTAACAAAACAAGATATTGTCCGCAAGGTGTTGTAAGTGGCGTACATGAAGTGTAAACCACTCAATGAAAAACATCCTAATCAACATATTGAGAGTAGTTTACTGAATCAGTATTAATGGTAGGTTACGTATATTGTTTTAGTATTGTAAGTACTGCCTGTTAAGTAAGAGATGCTTCTACAAGTACTTTACCCTAGTCGAGGCTAATTGTGGGCGGAGAAGCGTAAAAAAGCGAGCGGCTGATAAACGTCGATTACACTCGTCAACGCTTGCCCCCTCTCTCGTCTTTTTTTGTACATCCGCCAATTTGCTCGTTTGAACCAACCCAAAGCCTATTGTTGATTCAGCAACACAGACGAGTTATATTTCCAGACTGTTTTAATTGAAGGAAACCTGACATAGTTTGATTTCAAAACAAATAAATACTACCAATAGTTCTCGCTATCAAAAATCATTGTAAACGAGGATCCAGGATAGCTATGTATACATACATCAATTTCATTTCTGAGTATTGTCAATAAAACCTGTGTAATTCAAACAATTTTTTTTCTTTTCACAAATAGCTGTAATAGATTTAATAAACTTTTCAGCTTTAAATAAATATTTGTGATCAAAATGTGAATATTTGTCGTCAAGCGATCTGTTGCCGCATACCGACAACTGAATTACCACGGGAAACAGTGGACAACAAGAGCCATCCCGTGGAAAGTCTACTGTTAAATTGCCACTCTGTTTCCCATTCCCACTCTCTTTCCCATCCCCATTAGGAAGTGCACAAGCACGAGCAAGGATATCGAGCCCGATTCATATAAGAAAAAAAAAACAACAGAATTAAAAGAGAGATTTAGCACCGCGTTTAAGTGAAACGTGAGTGGCAAGAGTGACCATATATATATATCTTATTAACCAAGCGCGAGGGCCGTACTGGGAGAATATCGGCCCGAGGTCTTGACAGTACGGACCGAGCGCAGCGAGGTCCGTACAAAAAAGACCGTGGGCCGATATTCTCCCAGTACGGTCCCGAGCTAACTTGGTTAATAAGAGATTTATTATACGACTGAAGTTCAAAGGAACACAAGTGCAGTATCATTCAGGACCATTCGGGACAATGCCCGGTCCAATACTGAGAGAATATTGACCGGCAATAGAGCATTTTGATTGGTTGATTTTAGTCATTGGCCCTCTGACTGCCCGAGTGGTGTAATAAATGAAGTTAATTGCTGGAAAAAGAGCATCAAAACCATTCTTTTAAAGTCGTACAAGGGCGCCTTCAAATTCACCATGACGGGAGCTCACACGAAGCCAAAGCAGCCACGTTCACGCTATTTTACGCTTGCCGTTTCACGTAAAGTCTCCCTTAAGTTGTCCAAACTAACGCGACCTAGCATTGACAAGATACACTGCGGTAAGTCCACTTGACATATAAAACTACTTTGATTCAAGAGTTTGGAGTTGCCGTCTTTGTAACCTTCCCAATACTATTCTGAAGTGCTGCCCAGGTACTCGGACATAGCAGCCCGTTGCTTGGCAACCGGGAAGTGCTCGATTGACAGTTTCTATTATATTCTGTTTGGAACTTCTGAACTGCTGATTGAATGAGCGCGGAGTATACTTCTGGTGTATCAAACAACGAACTCAAGTAATTCATTTGGCGCAAATCTGTAACAAGTGCACCGATCAGATTCCGAACAGCTCCATCTGGGGCCTTGGGAATGCTGTAAGTACTTGATACAATGTCCTCCATCTTCTGCATGGTTTCCATTACAGTTGTCATCAGCACAATCTCTGCTGGAGCATTTCGGGAGGGTGGATTGTAATCGCAAGCGAGCTTGTCTAGGGTCGCAAAATTTGTCACAGTGTCCTCGAAAACGTCATAGTTCCCATCAGGTATGGGAATGAGTGTGAGCTGGTCTCTAACGTGATCCACATGGAGTGTGACGGCAATGCCATTATTCGTACGAGTGCAGGACAATCCATTTTCATCTCCTGGGCACATAAAGACTTGTTCCAGCATTTCAAGTTGAGAAAATGAAGTGTTTTCTGGTCTCACCTTGACGACAGAAACTTTGACTTTAGTGCTTGCGTCCAAGGACGGCACTATAACAGTCCGATAAAACCTTCAGGAGGAAATACAATAAAATGTTAAAGAGGAATCCAAGTTTAAAGCGGTTTCTTGGGTCGCAACCATACTGTGACGAACATCACCCGGGATTTGTATTTGGTTTGCTTTTCCTCGTTCTTTGATTGGTCTAAAAAACCGCGCCACCCCCTCAACCAATCAGATGCAAAAGAAAACCTGAAGACGACTAAGTCATTCACGTTTTCCCGCCTTTTCCTTTTTTTTTCCCAGGGGTCGCTTGCTTTTATTCACTTTGACTTCCCATGAACTACCTGTGATTTTTTTTTCCAAAAGAGCGGTTGCAATTATTTTGCAAATGGTTTTACGACACTATACGCGCTATAGGGTTTTTTGGATCATTTTGAGCACTGCAATCCACAATGACGATCAACGGAGACATTGAAAACTCAACAGGAAATACGTGCGAAAAGCCCAAGGCGCGGGATAACGAGAGCGACAACTTAACAAATCGACTGTTGTTTAGCGTACTCTATACTTTTATCTACCACGAGATTCGTCGTCACAGTGCTGAAAATGTCATGGACTCACTGGGCGCAGTCGAGTGAGTCCGCAACAAATTTTGATTAGGTGACAAAGTGGCGCAAATATTTAACCATTCAGAGAGAGAGGTGAAGCAATACATATGTCCTGTTGTATTTTTTTAAAGACTCGTGGTGAAAATCGGTCTACTGGAATTAAACTGAAAAAAATAAAACTGATTGTAATTAACCAGAGAAAATGTTTCTCACCTGGTTGGATCCAGGTGCCACTCTTTCACAGCAAACACCTCAAATCCCTGGAGCCATTTATCCTGAGAAAGTATTTCAAAGACAGCTGTTTCTTCTTGGGCCATCTTACCAAACCTGGCTTGCTCACATACCACTAACCTTTCCGTTAACAGATGCGACTTGTCCCTGTAATCCTGTTCGTTAATCCGCTCAAGATACCGACAGGCAAACTCAACACTAGACAGGTAATACCCTGCTTCAGAGAACGCCAGGTTAGGATTTGAATATCCCCTTAAGATAGCGATCGTAGACGCCAGGTTTGGTATTTTGGATTTAAGAACCACATACACCCAAACATCCATGAACTCATCTAGCGAGAGCGTCAAAAAAAAAAAAGACAAAAATGAAACTCGAATGTGTAAACAAATAGGACCATGAGTATAGAACTCTGAGGACAATAATCAAGAGAATGATCTTCGCAGTTAACCAAGCAGATCCAAAGCTTTTTTCCAATCTCAACTTCATGTGTCTAATTTCACGTTATATTTTCTTCTCCTTCTCGCAACACGATAATCTTGTTACTTGAGAGTAAGTCGAACCTTTTGTGTGCGAGCCTAGATTCACGTCTCGTGTCCTATTGTCGCCGTTCTATCAGTGGAATGAAGCGCGATAAAAAATTGCACAATAGTCGCCGGTGAGTGTGATTTGGGTCGGGTACTCGACCCGAACCAGACCTCACTCCTCTTCTATCACTCCACTGCTGCCACTTTCGCGCCGTTCGTTTACTTAGCGACATTTTTCTAACTAAAAGCCTGGAACAAGCTACACGTCTCGTGAGAGGAGTGGTAACTAAATTTTGAGAGGTACTGCCTGCACCACTTAATTTCCATGCCCCTCGGTATTCAGAGCCACTGATTACCACCTTGTAGCACACGGATGTTAAAAAAAATTACCTGCACCAGGAGGTTTAGAGTGTTCCAACATGGACAACTCATTGAGTTTTCTGAATACACAATGCGCTGCGCTGACAATCGCGTGTATCTTGCGTGATGGTAAGATAGACAATGCCATGCTTTTCATGCAAGCCACTGCTGCATAATACGGTGCTATACCATCGTCTTGATATACTGGGCTGATGCCGAACTGTGTCTGTGTGATGTGTGCAAGATTTTTGTACATCTGTGATATCCTCTTGTCTTCCTCTGGCTTACGGATGTGCGCTTGAATAATGTTGTAGATGGATGGCAGTAAGTACTGCTCTATTTTAGCCTGCAACAGTAAACGTTAAATTAACAAAACGGTTTTGGTTGAACGTAATTTGCACTGATTTAAGAGGGTCTATCAGGCATCATGCACTATTAGGCATGATGCACTATTAAGCATCATGCACTATTAGGCATCATGCACTATTAGGCACAAACAATCGTTTATTCCTAGAGGTGCTAAACTTAACTTAAATTGACATTAATTGTGTATATATTTGTTGTGGTTTGAATTTTTTAAATTGGAATTCTTTAATTTTGAAATTTTTTATTGTAATATTACCGTAATTCTTATCGCCAAAGGTAATAAACAAAGGTATTATTATAACTAAAGCTGATTACTAAAGCCTAACATCAATATGCATATTCTCCATAATGTTCTTTGTACATTTCCTGAGCTGTTAACTGGGAGAATTTGTTTTATACTTGTGACCTTAATGTTTAATAAGAGGTGATATTGTCAGCTGATTATGATTATATAGAGGTACTTTTTGATAAAATTTCCACTGAGTGACTTTTTGATATTTCTGAGGTGGTTATCCTCCTTAAACTACCAATGAGTAAATAAGTTGGTAATAAGTAATAAGCTGGTTAAATAACACCTACATAGACCATATCATATGACAGGCTTTCTCTCTGATGTGTCAGCTGTTTATCGATGATGTACTGTGCCATGCCACCCACAAATTCCTGATATCTGTCTGGGTGGACTCCTGTAGGGAACTCATCTTCAATGTTTTGCACATCCCAACATTCACGAATGTAAGCTTTCAACTTACAAGCTTCAAATGTACTGTTTACATGGCTGGTGTCTAAAATCCTATCCAAAATGCTGGCAATCTCCCCAGAACCTTGTGAAACTACAAGCTCTTCCAGGTTCAGTTCTCCAGAGGTTACATCTGGTTCTTTGCAACCAAGCTTTTTCTCCAGATGTGACGCAAAGGACTGTCTTGTTGTTATTGTTGATACTGATGACTGTGACAATTCTTTATCATCTTGAATGCAAAATTCTTTGTGTAATCTGCAATTCAGATGCAAAAGAAACTCTATTTGGGAATTAATTACTAAGATTTTTTTGTAATTCTCCCTTCTAGCTGCAATACATATTCTTGTGAGTTGGCTATAGGAATTAGCAACCATATCAAAATTAAAGATAACAACCAATAGCTGCTTCACTGATATAAATAATCCATTGGTGTTGTAAGGAATAAGTTACTTGTGGTCAGTCCAAGATAAAAAAAAAGGATTAAACCTATGCAAGAGTTTGACTGTCAAAAATTTTTTTTCCAGCCATATAATATCAGTCATACTGAGAGGAGACTTGAGCAACTTTTCATTAACAGTGAAGCACTTACTAGCAAGAGGAGCCTTTTTACAGGAGAACCCCAGTACAGCCCTGGAAGTTGTGAGCATTTCTAATTAAAAATAAAAGCCAACTTTTTGCTTATAAAAAGGCAAAATTATTTAAAATACCTGATCTTTGCAGCCTCCAAATCAAGCATTTTTGATTGCAGTTTGTAAATTTGCTGGTTTCCTTGCACCCACTCCTCAAATCTGCAGAACTGCAAGGCTTGAGGAGTTGGTGCCTTACTACCTGATGTGATCAAGTCCTGAGATAAAGGGTCACAAGCAGTCTCAGTCTATAATTATTCATAATATCAAAACTAATGGCTGTTTGTAAAATTTAATGTGAGAATTTATCTAAAAATAAAACACATATACAGCTATTCTCTGGCATCGTCAATTGTATTTGCAAGGCTGTGAAGGATGTACAGGCAAAACTCTTTAAGTCTCACGTATTGAGAGCAAGACTTGCACAAACAAATTCTTACATTCTCTTCCTAGAACTATTATATCTTATTCATTTAAGGTTTCTTAGATGAGATAGCAAACTGCTGCATTAGTTCAGTACCTATGTAAAGGAATGCACATCTTAGATACTTCATTTTTTCATGATTTTTCTGGGGAAGAAAAAATTGCCCCCATACCCTCCTCTAGTAAGGTGATGCGATCTGCGTCACAATGGAAGGCTATGCAGCCGAATATCTCACTCTTTACCAGTAAAAGACCTTAGCAGCTCTGTATAGGAGGGATTTTTCAGACGATACCCCATCTCAATAACCCACCTAGACAAAGACCAGCAGATTTCAAAAAGCCCCATAATTTTCATAGTCTGGCAAGTTCTATCGAGTTTCGCACGCGACAACGCAGTGACATACGTTCGTTTCGCTTACTTAGCTTAATATTCCGAAAGTGAAGGAAGATCTATCGAAAATTTTCCTCAGATTAGAGAATTTGAAATCACAGAGGGAACAAAAATTAAAATTTAAGTGACCCAGTACCTGTAACTGTTTTATACAAGAGCTCACATGCACTTGGTTCAAACACAGAACTTGGATCTTCAGCATAACAATCTCCTTTGTTAGCTCACGCTTTTTACGCGAGTATTCCTCTGCATCTTCAGTCTTGCCGTCCACCGACTCTAGAGCACCCCAAGTTCCCATCACCCACACAGTCAATGGCTCTGCGCTACTGCTCTCCTCATCAAGTCGCTCCTCTTGAGCACTCAGCGAGATGCACTGGCTTTGTAGCTCCGTTTTTAGGTGGCGATAGCTAATTATCGATCTTGCTACTGTTTCCTCTTTGTCTTTCTTGACTGATTCTAATTCCCACCTATCTAAGAGACTAGAAGACTCGAGAAGGCTTGCTATGTCAACCATTTTTAAATTTCCGCCTTCGTTATCAGGACGAGTTAATTTGGAACCTAGGTTAGAACATTAGGAAGTGATTGGAAAATGAAAGTTGGATTCATTAAGCGCGTTTTTTAACGTTATTTTTCATACGTTACTCATCAACGAATAACCTTAATTGTTATGCATATTTTCAAAAAAAAATTGTCGTAAGTTCATGGTTTCCGGACGAAAAGCTAGAGCAAAGAAAGTCATGAAATGGTCAGCGGTAAGGCATCGTCATTTAAAATACATAATGTGGCTCAATTGTGCCCATGTGTGCAGTTTTGATCTTCCTCGAGAATGTTTGAGCCAGAACGCCACTTGCTTTATTTTTCTTTAAACTGAAATCAAGGCAAAGAAAACAGGAGAAAAACAAAACTATTTTATACGGAAGACTGTATTATTAGAAATTTCCAAATTTGGAACTGGCATGGGAGAATCGAACCGGAAGCAAGGACCAATCACACTCCACTTTCGAACCAGCTGTAAACAATCATACTGTCGAAACTTAAAAAGTTCCTTGAATTTTGTTTCATCACCTGTTAGCTAAGGTTCAGATGGTCTTTTTATTTCGCTTTTGGCAAAATGCGAATTTTTGCTGCTTCGGTTTTACTTATGGCCATTTTCGTCACAATCGATGCTGACATTGATGAAGAGGAAGCAGCATTGCCTACAAAATGCCACGGTGAGTAAGAATTGTTGAGTGTCGAAAACTCAATTCTTCGCTTGTTTATCGATCCTTTTTTGCGAATGATACTCAATAAAACAAAACAACCTGTGTGTTTTAATCTCTTAAAAACAAAAAGTTATCACAGAGACGCGTTACCATGAAAAAAAAAGTACAAATAATCAGAAAGTTTTGCAGGCTCCCCGGACCTGGGCATTCTACAGTTACAATTGTTTTCTTCCTCTCTAGTTTTACTTAGTCGCTTATCATCCCTTACTGTAGTGTTTCCAAGACAAGATAAGGATTAAAAAAAATTTTTTAGTATCTTATAGTTAATCTGAAGCTTAATTTTGCTACCCAAAATAAGGATTTTTTTTTCTTCACAACCTGTTCCTTTGTTTTAGCTCAACTGTTATATTTTTCAGCCAAATCTTTTATGCGCAAAAAATTTGATTTCAATATTTCACAAAACATTTATGTGGAATTTAATCTGATGCGCCATCAAATAAAACCTTTATCCTTCTTTAAGTTACTTGAGTTCGACTGAGGAGGTTCGAAACATAAATTTGTCGAACATATGTTTGAAACATGAAATTGTAGCTTGCCACTCAGCCAATATTTTAGCCTCGAGAGACGCAAGCACCATTTAATTAACTTCTGTTCTTATCATCTTAATGATGAATTCGCTTTGTTCGCGATCAGATCACTGACTCCAACTGTGTCATAGATCAACATGCTACCTCTAAATTAACAGCAAACCACAATTTTTATTGGCTGCTTGGACAGATTTAGCTTTAAACAGTTGCAAATTTTTGCGGAATATTGGCACAGTTTAAAGGCAAATTTTTGATTAGCTATAATGCTTGTCTTTTTTGGGAACACTAATGACATCTCCAGTGCAGGGATTATTTTGTTTATTCTGTTTCTGTGCACCTGCCTTGGGTCTGTGATTTAACTCCCAAGAGTGACTTAAGCATCTAATTTCTCGATACAATATCACCCTGAACGAGGCTGTGCTCAAAGAAAAAATGAAGGGAGCCCACTGCTCTGAAACTTTGAAAAACAGCGTGACCAGGATATGCTTTAATATGTGAAAAACTAAAATTCCTAAGTTTCCCAGGAGTGAAAGTAAAGCGTCAGGGGCCACCGGGCACTGCTAAGCCACATGCAGCCTTGCTGACTTTGACACACTGAGGTAAAAAAAATAAAGGAAATGATCACCAACTAAAGAAGCTCCTGATTGCTAGAAAAATTCTCCTTGTCAATATGTTATGAAATATATAGAGAATAGTATGGAGAATAGTCAGACTGATGTCAGCATGTAAAGGGTTAAAGTATTGTAGCCTGGGTTACAGCATTCAATAATGATCTGAACCACAATAAATAGACCCCTGTCCATCCAAAAAAAATGTATTTTGCCATTCCAAATGTGTTTGGATCTCTGACTGTTGCAGTTTGTAAACATCTGGTACAAGAACTGCAGGATGAGCTTGAACGGTCTGGCAAGTCCAAAGAAGTCTTCAGAATAGGGCAGATATTTCAGGAGCAGCCTAAGGAAGTAAACTACCAGTATTCGTAAGTGCATGCTTCTTATTGCAAGTCAATTGGCTTCAGATCATGGAAAAGGGGAGACATGTCAGTGTAGTGGTTAGTTTGGCAGACTTTTCCAGTTTTGGATCATTTGTGTTGTTTTGTGTTCCAGTTGACTGGTATCTTGTGGGAGAGAGGACAAAGATGTCAACCTTAGAAATAGAAAATATGGAGATGCTTGATTTTGCATAATGATGCCTCCAACCCCCCCTCCCCTCTCTCCCTTCCAAATATATTCTTGATGGCTTGATCCCAGCCTCTCCCCAGAACTCAACCTGCTTATTAAAAATTAGCATCTTTGTTACTGTACCTCTTACAGACTTATAACCTTGGGCAACCAGGATGAGCATGTTAACCATTTCTCCAGTATAGTTTTTGATAATTAGGAAAGGGGAATCAATTCCCACAGTATTTTCACAAGTCTTGACAGAATTATCAAAAGATCAAAAGGATCAGTTTTCAGTAAGCCAAAGGCTCTGTTTTCCTAGCTTGCTGTTCTCAGTAGAACACCAAAAATGATGTTACTTCAAGTGACTACCAAATGGTATTGAGTTGTGGGTGTAGTGTGTAGGAAAGGGAGATGTGGGGAGGGGGGGCAACAAACTCAAAATTGTTTTACCAGCATATTATTTTATGTGGGACTTCAGACCTTGAACATTTTTCAATTAGTCATCAATTACAATTAAGACGGACTCACACTCCATACTCTCACATTTTGCTGCAGTGAAGTGCGTCTCAATGAAGCTCTGGAAAATGCCTGCTCTAATGTTTTAGACTATAAAGTGCATAAGGACAAAGTGAAGGCTTTGAGATATGAAAAAAGTGAGTGAAGAAGAAAGTATTCCTCTTTATTCTAAAGCCTTGTAATGTTCAATTTTTTGCTCTGCATGAAGTGAGTTTCCTTAGTATAAACATCATGTATAAGTTAAGGGTATATTCTACCTTGTCACCTAAAAGTATGTGTGACTTCAACCAGTGTGCAACTGTTACACCTTTCTGTCCTCAAGAAAGGTTCAATTTATACCCCACCCTGTGCTGGTGAGGGGCAGAACCTGTCCTTATCAGAGTAATGCATGACAATTAAGTAATTTTTTTTGTGGCCAGAATTTTGAAACACAGTTATTTTCAAAAATGCCTTTTTTAGATAGAATTTCTCTAAATCCATATAGCTTTAACCCTCACGTTCCAAATTATAAAAGCACTTTAATAGAGGGTGTTGTCCCACACAGGACCATTATTGTAGATCTCTTTGTTCCAAGGCAGGGTTGCAGATGTTAAGACTTACAGGCTCTAGCAGCCCCAGCCCTTTGTACCCAAAAGACAAGTAGCCTAATATAGTCATATGTGTTTTTTGTGTGTCCCTAACAGTGAAACTCAGTGTTAAGTTGGAATAATGCTTCTCTTTTCTCAGAGGAAAGTGTAACTTTCAACACCCTCAAGGGACTCAAGAATCGAGGAGTCAAGGTGGAGCTTGGATTTCCCTATGAGATGTGGGATACACCTGATGCCGAAGTAACTAGGCTGAAGAGCAGGGTAAGACCTTGACAGACATTTTGTTACTTAACTTCAGGGCTGTAGCAACTGGCATACTTTGCTGTTTATCCTGCGAGGCTTTGCTGGCCACTTCAGTCAAGAAGATGACATACATTGACCAGTAAAACGGAGACCTGATACCCTCAACTTTTCAATGCGTACAGTTTGAGGCTGTTAGGGTTGCTGACATGTCACTAAGGATGTAGAACTGCAAGCAAATTTTCATTCAGGTGATCACATGACATGAGAGGTCAAGGGAATAGTAATCAAGCAAAGGCCACAATAGGATATCCTCTTTTTCTTAGCATGAAACAACCAGGAGAATCACTACTCCCCCCCTGGATGGGATGTTGATCAATTGCAAGGTTACCCCCAGCATTTCATTAAGTTCCTCTGAGAATTTGCCAGTACCCAATTATACTTCTGGATGGAGGAGGAGACCTGGAGAGAGTTGTGGCCAGGCCTCATACCCAGGCCCCATACCCATACCTCTTGACCCAGACTCCAGAGCACTAACCAGCAGCCCCACAGGTCTACCTTTTTTTTTTTTTTTCACGAAAAGATGGTATCCATAATTAACTTTTGAAGCACATATGAAGAAAATTTTAGAATGGCCAGGTTACTTTTTCAAATCTTTATCTCTCTACTGAGAATTATGTAGTTGCTAAAACATGCTTTAATAATCACAAAATATAATCACAGTGCCGTTTACTTTCAGTGTGAATTAATGGTGGAGACGTATGAAGATGACTTAACCCAATGGTATTGGCATCACCAGAAGGAAAACCTGACCAACTGGTTATGTATTGAGAGAGTACTGGACCCTGGGGAGGAAGGTGAAAATTTTTTGATATCTTGTTTACTTGTGGGTGTGGTCGTGTGAAGGGGTGGGGCACCAGGCGCGTAGCGTCCTATACGCATATACGCACGTGCGTACTTGAAGTGACCAGAAAATTTTGAAAACAATGTTGTGTTTGCGCCAAGTTTGCTCAAAATAAGGGCAAGACGCTTTGTTCTTTGCTTGTATTCACACAACTATTTCGAACAAGAAATAAAGAACGCATTATTCTTCGCTCAGTTTACTTAGTTTCTAGATCATATGTACTTGTGCGAACTTGAAAAAATGAGCACGCTACGCACCTGGGCACAGGGGATGGGGGGTGCACTCTTAGTCTTAGTCTGACTTATATTTGGTACATTATCATCTCTCATTGACAAAGATGTCAGTCACTTGCATTTGAGGGCTTGCCTTGGCAATGTCCTTGAGATAGGTGTGCATTCTATGTAGTCTTTGCTCTCTTACGCAAGCAAACTTAGAAGAAGTGAGCGTTTCCAACGCGCAATGTTATCATTAAGGCGTGTATCAGGATTTCATGTTTTTGTTTGTTTATTTTTGAAACGCAGAGTGTTTCAATGAAACTGAAGCAGAAAAGAAAGATGATCAGAAAGACAGTGAAGGGAAAGAAGAGAAGGAGAAAGAGGATGAAGTGAAAAATAACGATGCAAATGAAGACAGAGGAAAGAAAAAAGCCGGCAAAGGAGGAAAGTCCAAGGAAAAAAAGAAAACAAAGGGAAAGGGGAAAGAAAAAAACAAAGGCGGAAAGACACTATCTGGCAAATCCAAGAGGTCTTCGCAGGCTGAAGAAGGCGATTCGGAGAAAATTCAGCGCCTCATTAGGGAACAAGCCCAAGACCAAGAGGAACACCGGAAGAAACGTGGTAAGACGAGACAATTTGTTGGCGGTAAAATGGACGAACAAAAACGACGAGAGTTCCAGATCAGGCTCCGAGACATTCATGATGTCGACCGTCTCCGACGCGAACTTCGGAGGATTCGGCAGCGAGAAATGACTGAAGATGATTACACTGAAAGAGAACCTTGGGAACGTCATATGGACTCGAGCATTCCCGAAGAAGTCCGACGTGACATGCGACGACATCGGTTTGAGCGAATGAACGATCCCCAAGATCTGAGGAGAGAATTACGCATGCGAGCCATGGACCTCGACGATGACCATTTCTTCGAAGAGTACTCCTTCGCTTTTCGTGAATTGAGCCACCGTTATATGATAGAAGCAGAAGAAATTCGCGATCCTTTGGAGCTGAAAAAACGTATCGACGATCTATACGCGCTGTCGGCGATATTTTCCAGCGGTTACGAGGGCGGCCGAAGACGAGGGCGTCACGGTCGGCGCTCACGGAAAGACGAATTGTGAAGAGTAGAAGCGCAGCTGGCCACAGGAGGTGTTTTATCTTTAGCAGCCCCACATGAAATAGTGACACAGGAACCCTATCGAGTGGAGAACGAAACAAACTGGTTTTCAGGGATCCTAAATATTAATTTGCCCTAAATTTATGAATTTCAATCGGTATAATGTTATTTAGCGTGCAGGTCCACATCAGGACTTATTGTCTTACCTATTTTATTAACCTGCCTTACCAAACAGACTTGTTGTTGTTGTTGTTTCCTTCGTAGACGGAGAGTAATTTTTCTTTATTGATAGACGGGATTACATTGATTTCGTTTCACAACGCTCTGTTTGTCAATTAATCGTGCGCCACGTACTAACGTATCTCAAAAAATCACGTGCAGAGATGTTAGAGGAGAAGAGATTTGACCGATAACTACGGTTTGTTTTGTACCCAGGTTTTTCGCTTTTCGTGAAACGCGTAGCGCAAGGTCTCATGGTCCAGTCGCTCTCGGGAGTGACTAAGCTATCTTACCATCGTGCATTGTTCACCGCGTTTCCCGCCACTCGCCGCAATATGCAATAAGGTCTGGTGGCTAGACAGCAAACTTGCCTTCTTATCTGTTCCCATGACGACATGTTACTTGGCAAATATTTAAGTTAATTCTTGGTTCTTCTCACAAATTGACTTTTTGGCAGGTGTTTTTGATGGCTTATTTGTTCAGGGGCTGCCGATGATTAGAACATTAAGGGCCTGGAACGAGAGTAGGAACATAATCAAAGGACATTCGAGATGCACATATCTTTCATGGTGGAAAACAAGCTGTAATTTGCTCTCTTTTGTAGGCTTTTCTCACACTTGCAACGCAATATGTATGTAGATTTAATTAACACAAATATAAATTCCAGCGCGACGTAAGAAACCGAAACATTTTCGTTTTCTTGCGACTACCTCCTGTGCTATTGTTTGTATTTGGTTAATTTGTGTGAGCCAGTCATTACGAGCACGAAAAACTTAAAAAAATTTAGGGCTTTTGATAATAGTAAGATAAAAGTTTAAGTGTATGAGCAGAAACAAGTGACTTGTTTCTGTTCCCATACATATCTAGCTGTCAACAATTTGCTGAAAGACGAGCTGCTTTTAGGTTATTTATTCAAATTTCCATGCTGGAGAAATAAAGAATAATTTTGAAAACTGATGTTACTTCATTGTATTATTATTAGTGAGTATATTTCCCGAGATCAATGGGCATACTGGGCGATTTTTGCTATGTTAGTTTTAAACGAACTCATTATTTTGTGGAAATGAAACTCTTTCAGGCAAAATTGTCCATCACTATGGAGAAGTCCCTTTCCTTACATTAAGATATTTTTGACACTTTCTTCCGTTGTACACAATTTCGTCTGAAGAGAAACATAATTTGGAGGTTTTTCTTTTTTTTTCTAACTTGCAGATTCTCGTCTTGAATTATTGATGATTTCCCTTTTCATCTATCAAGATGTAATCTGTCTCGTATTCGTTCTCCCAAAAGTCACTGAATAAACAGTGTGCAATATAGCTTGGCGAATTTCTCGCATTCGATAACAGTAAATCAAAGGATTTATGAAGGAGTTTACGTTAACAATTGTCAGTGCGTAGTTGATAGCTATCCAATTCCATTCTGTGTATCCCATTATTTTGCCCAGTGCAAGGAAGAGCGAGTAAGGAAGATAGCAACACAGTAGAGCACAGTAAATTAAGAACATATTAAAAGCTCCTTTCCTTCGATGTTTTAGCATTAGATTTTTGGACTTGTTTTCAACTTCCTGCCTTAAAGATTCAATACTGTTCAGATGTGACTGAGCAATGCGGTGAATGTTGATGTAAGCCGCGGTTGAGATGACCAGGCAGAACACGATGGCTGCGACGAAAAAGTAGGACCTATATGAAGGAGCGAACAATACCCAGACTAGGGAAGAAATCGCGCCAAGGAGCCATAAAATGGCGAGAAATCGACGGACACGTTTCAATGTGATGACATCTTCGTATCGCAAATGGAAACGGAGAGACAGATAGCGTTCTAAACTGATTGCAGTCACTGTTCCAAAAGACACGCACGAAAAAATCGACGCCGTTACCGAAACAGCTACAGACATCATGCAAGTAATTTGTCCAACTCCCCGCTCTGCAAACAAGATCAAACGGGCGATATAAATTGGCTGGAAAAGTAGACCGACTCCTAAATCAGACATAGCGAGGCTCATCAGCAACATGTTTGCTGGTGTCCAAAGCGGGAACGAACGCCATATTGAGATAATGACCAAAGCATTGGCCAGTGTTGTTGTGACGGAGAAAGGAACATTCAGAACAGCGTTGAAAATGAAGGCTGTTTTGAACGGATCATTCCCGAGCGCTGCCAAGTAGCTAAAACTACTGAAACGGCTGCAAAAGTCATCCTCAGAATGATTGCCCGACATGCTCGTTGCTTGCTTGTGCCTTTGATACGTCGGGCTCTTAATCCTGCGTAAACTAAATCTTTATCTCGTTAGAACACATTAAGTTATCTGCGCTTGCCACACTACTAGCCAATCAAATAACACGGAAAGGGCAGTTTTGAGGGCTTTCCGTTTTCCATATCAACTCCTCCACAAGGAAATATCAATATTACCAATTTGTAATATGTAGCGTCAATAATTTCTTTAGAGTAGGATGCAATGTGTCTGATCTCAGCCCTTCATTTGTTTATTTTATTGAAAAAGCTGCTAGCGATTCTTTAACCAAGGGTTATAATTTCGTGCAATCCGCCATGACGAAGCATTTCAGTTTCGAAAATATTTTCTTGTTGCTTAGACATGTTAACTTCGAAACCACGATCAGCTTTGATCGATTTTGAAGTCAAATGAGGCACATTTCCTAATTTAGCGCAATCTACATATCGTTCAATCAACAGCTGTCAAACAAGAGCAAGGTGCATATTTTAAATTTAGAATGAAACAATTGACTAAAAAAAAATACTGATCGCCTTTTCCTTTTTCGCATGCTATTTCACCTGGACTTTAAAAACACTTCTGATATCTAACGTCAGTTGATAGGAAACGAAGATAACTGTCCCGCAATTGTGTTTTCTCGTTGGTAACTGACGCAACTCGATAAATGAAAATGAAAATTAAAGAAGCCGTTTTTAAAAGGTGGTTTGCCAAAACGTGTTTCAGCGATACAGCGCTAGTCTTGCTGATGTGATAAAAATGTACGTTTGAAATGTGCAGCGAAACAAAACTAAACAAAACAAAAAAGAATTGAACGCGTTCGGTTTACGTTCCAATAACAGAAATTTTAAGTGTAACAGAGTCTTGTTTTTATTTTATTCGCATTATTCAATTTAACACTGAAATTTGCCTCTGAAAAGCCATTACAATGTTTGTTTGTGAAACATTAAGCGGTAACATACGGGTACGAAACGAAAAATAGTGAGAATCTATTGAACTATAAAGAAAAAGGATGTTAGTTATTATAAAATTCAGAAGACATAAAGAGATTTTAGAAATAAACATATTACTTGAGAATGTTTACCGTCTGTAGCAATACTATGCGCAACTCATTACATTTCTCGGCATAGTTAATCGAGTAACTATGTTCTCGGCAAGACTGACAGGGCACCAATCTTTTTTTTCATCCGTAAATTACAACAAAACAGACAAAGTGCCGAAAAAATTTAGATCCCTTGGCCAAGAGAAATTTACTTCCATCTGTTAGGAGCTTCAAATAGTTTTTTGGTTATCTCCGTGCAAACCACTTACGTTATTTAATCACCTGCTCTGTAAAATTTCTATTTCAAGACTTGTTTTTGAAAACAATGTGTGAAAACACGAAGCCTTTGTAGCTGTTGAATAGATTTTTCTACTTCTTGTTTCAACGATGAGCCATTCCTAATCATGGAATTGACCGCATAAAATATGCAAAGTCTGAACACGCTACAGTTGAGAGAGATAGGAAGGAATAGGTAGTCGGTAAAGATGTTTGCAGCTGTTATGAATAAGAGTAATGTTTTCTTCCTTTTTTTCTTAATAGATGAACGAATCATTATAGTCATTTCAATGAGCGTGACACGACAATAATCCAGTCATTCTAAATTAAATTGCGTATATCACAATCTTGAATAAGCGCAAAAGGAAACGTGCTAAATTGAACGTTTAAAACCACACGTTTTCCTACAAGCTGTTGTGTGATGACGAATTCAATTTATAACATAGTGCGGGTGCTTGGCCTGAGTCCTATTGAAATCTTTATTTACGCACGCCCGTGCGTAAATAAGATGACGTGAGCTTTTTGTTTTCCTTTACCTGCCTGCAGAGTTGCAGTCCTGTAAGCTGCAGTGCAGTTTTCCTTCTCTTTAAAATGTGGAAGAAACCAGCCAACAACTGCGCAATTTTTCTATCGGCATCGACCTTTCAAGGTCTGATCCAACTAGCAGCGAAAACAAAGCCGAAAAAACTCAGCAAGCGGCAGCGTGAACATTATTTTGAACAATCAAAAGCATTCTATAGATCAGGCCCGGGTCTTTTTACTTTTAAAACATTTTATAGCGACACTTGAGTTCATTTAGCTTTGACTTTCTCCATTTTTCCTGTTAATTTTGAGCTTTTCATTCACAGTTATCGGTTTACTGAGCTGGATCAAACGTTCTCGCTAAAACCAAAGTCGAAAATGTGGCGTGTTTTTGACCGGCCAATAGGGACTTTTGTTTACTTTTTTTGTACGTTATTAGAATTTTGCACTCTATCACAGAAAAAAAAAAAAAAAACCTTCTTCGCGCAGATCCTTGTTATCGCTCTGTTATAAGAGAATTTGTTCCGGCTTTTAGCTATGCGTATATCGAGTTATGGATGCACGCGGGAAGTTTGGAGAGTGCTCAAAAAAGCTCTCGGCTGCAGTTGGAGGCTACTCTTTACGCATTTTTCGTGCTCTCCAAACTTCATTGCTGTAATGGCCTTGTGATGAATGCGGATAAATGTACTACCATGTGGCTGGGTAAGAGCAATGATACTACTATACCCCTGTTTTTCCATTGGGAGACAGGAGATCAGTTTTGTGGGGGACGTCAGGCTACTGGGTGTAACCATGGATCATGACTTAAAAGTTTAATGAACGTATAGGTAACATAGCACGGAAAGTTAGCAAGCAAATTCAAGTTTTACAAAGACATAAGAAATTAATTGACATCCATGCCAAGGTTAAATTATATAATGCTTATCTTTTGCCTCATTTAAATTATTGCTCTATTGTATGGCATCATTGCGGAAAAGGTAATTCCAACAAATTGGAACAACTTAATGAATGTGCGTTGCGCTTTATTTACAATGATGATAATAGCTCGTATGAGGAATTATTATTGCGTATTAAGCATCCTACTTTGTATAGTAGAATTCATAATATTTTAACATTGGTATTTAAAGGTTTGCATGGGTTGGTTCCAGAATATATTTCTAGGTTATTTACTTTACGCAACTGCAAGATTAATCTGTGGGGGGATAATATTCTTATGGTACCCAGGGTTAATACCACTAGCTATGGCCTCCACTAATTGACTTATAGCCTATCAGGGTAGTAAGCTATGGAACTCTCTTCCCAATAACACAAGACTGCTACACGAATTAAGTCAATTTAAATCCGAAATTTCTAATTTCTAATCCGAAATTTCTAAATTGAAATTCGACCTGTAGAATAAATTTTACTTAGTTTTTATCTTGTTTAGTAGTTATATTTTAATATCCTTTGCTTTAGAATTATATTTTGTATTTTATATAAACATAGTATTTAGATAGTAATTAGATTAATTTTATATATTTTAAATTTAGATAATTCAACTTGGAGATATTAGCATGTATTTGCTATCTTAAATTCAAGTATAAATAAAGTTATTGTCATTGTCATTGTTGTCCCGCGCGCATCCATAACTCGATATACGCACGCTAAGCATGAACAAATTCTTCATTTGACTCCTTGCTATTATGCAATCGCCTTATTTGATTAAAGCTGAGATGAACAGCGGTCGGTGACATTATCTTTTCCCGAAGTATTCAGTTGATTTTTGTTTAAGGTAGCTTCTCAGATCAAATTGAAATGGAACCTCTTTCAAATCTTTTCCACAACGGGACTTTCAGTTTAAATTCCGAGCCATGAAATCGCTGAATTTCTCAAATAATCCTAACTAATCCTTCCCCCTGCGCTAAAATTGCGTTCAAAAAGGCCTTAAAAAAGAAGATTTGCCAACTGGGACACCTGTTATGGAAATTTGGACACGTTTTGCTTACTAAAGTAACTTGAGATTAATTCCATCCTCGAAAAGTGCACTTCCCGCCGGAAAGGTGTTCATGCAACCTCGTTCCCAGGGCCTTTTTCCCTTAGTTGGGGGTGGGCCCCACCCCCAACTAAGATAAAAGGCCTTGGGAACGAGATTGGTGTTCGTGTAGTGCTCGATGAAATCTACTTTCTTCCGCGCGATCCTCTGTACTTTTTATTCTTCTTCCCGCGCCCATAACCTCTGTTAGACGATCTTCTGTAATTTCCCCTGTTACCGGAACTTTTACGTCCCCCACGGTAACTAGGCCTCCCGTAATCAGGCTCCCTTTGCCCGTATTTCGTTTGCCTCTTGTTGTTCTTGCTCTCTTTCAGGTGTTCAAATTGATTTTCGAAGTCCACGACACTGTTCGAATTTTCCGTGAACTGGAAACATTTGATTGGTGAATCACTGACTTCGTCCCAGTCCACTTCGAGTTCGTCGGTGTCTTCTGTTGCAGCAGTTCGCGAGGGTTTCTCAATTTCTCTGTGTTCTTTTGCGCCAAACCTTCAATCATAAAATATGTAAGGCATTACAAAATACCGCTCCCGACCCACGACACTTGCAAAATGTACTCTTACTCAATCGAATGAGGATATGAAAACAAAATTTTTATCAAAAATAGTAACGTACCTTCTACCTACATCTTTGCTTCTTGTCGGAATCTTGTCTTTCACACAAACTACTGGAAAAAAGAACATAAAAACGTTCCTTAAAACACAATGGCGCGACCGAGAAGGACCTTTTAGGATTATGTCTCGAGCCATTTTATTAAGTCCCAAAGGAAACGAAAACCAGCAAGAGGCTGTGTGCGCAGTATATCTGCATAATAAAAATCGTTCATGAAGGGCTAAACACGTTTACAGCAACTGTTGAACCTGTAGTTACTTGTATCACATTAATAATAAAGAAAGTACCATGGGATACCATGTGATAATGTGACAAGATGATCTCGCTGGTTTTATTAAATGAGTTGATTGTGTAAATTGGCGACCGTGAAGAGTTTAAAAGCTGACGTTTCGAGCGTTAGCCTTTGGTCAGAGCGAATGGAGGAGTTGTGGGTTGTGTGTGTGTTTCTATGCAGAAAATGGAGCCACGCTACGGATGGGAACATGGTCACGAGAAAAACAAGAATAAATTAGTTGACTGAAAAGTGTCTGTTGATACCGTGGGATAGGGAGTGCGGCTTTGAAAGATGTATTCTGAACTGCTTAGGTATAAAAAAGGCCGCAGACTGACATAATTTATGCTGCTTAGAACGATTAAGGAGATTAACGTGTCTAGCGACTGGTTTGGATGCGTCCTTGTCATTCCTTTCGCGACGATGTTCTCAGGATCGTCGTATTCCTGTTTCAACAATGTATTTCTTTTGCAATAAGTGCAAGATAGTGAGAGTGTAGTGTGATCGTCCAGGTGAGTGTAGTGTGATCGTCCAGGTGAGTGTAGTGTGATCGTCCAGGTGAGTGTAGTGTGATCGTCCAGGTGAGTGTAGTCCTGAGAAGGACTATTGTCGATGATGGTTACTGGCGTTTCGACAACCTGAGCGGAAGTCAATCCCAGAGTCAAGTGACTAGTTCTTGTCAGTCGAATATAGCAAGTTTGGTTTGTGCACACTGATTGGTCAGTTAAGCGGTGATTCTAATGTCTGTAAGATTCCTGTCAAGATCTAAAGAAACCCAACTATCTTGACCAGATATCGAACCCGGATCTTTCGACTGGAGTAGAACTGGGAAACGCGCCTCCCTTGCGGTTAAGTTAACCACAAGGAAAGCGCGTTTCCCACATTACTTTTGAAAGTAAGCCTGATATGATTCCAATAAACCGTATAGCGGAAGCTCTATTGCTCTAAAACTACTTTATAGGCCCAACAATAACCTCTAATGGTAACCACACACACCACCGAAAAACTCACCTTCTACTTTACTCTGAGGTATTGAAGTCCTTTTCCTAGCCTCCAATTCTTCATCCACGTGCTGCAAGTACAATTCTTTCGGAATCTTCTTGTTACAGAGCTCACAGACCACGTGAAACTCGTCACCCTCCTCGCTCCCAGAATCCCTTGGTTGACGAGATTTCTTGGCCTTTGAGCTTTTTGACAAAGACAGGGGGCGTTTCTTTCTTCGACCACCAAGCATGGCAAGTGCGATATCATTTTCGTCGTTTCCTTCTGTTCGAGTTATCCCGGATTCTTTACCACGCGCAGAACTGCGCTGAGCTCCGTACTGCATCATAAGGCTATCATCACATATATCACTACTAACTGATGAATCACTGTCCGATGCCACTTCTTCAGTTCTACAGGAAGTTTGTCGATGCTCCTGCTCTTTAGACCTGTCACTTTCATTTTCTTTTTCTCTTTCCTTGGTTGTGTTGAGAGGAATGTAATCGCCGGGGAATGTCCACGCTGGTTTCTCCTTTTCCGGGCTGAATAGGACAAAAAGTGAGAATGAACATCTTCCGATGGCCGTTGGGAAAAAAATTCCAACATAAACCAAACAAAATGAAAAATAAAAAAGAAAACAATGAAAAAATACTCGGCGCGCATACCAGAATACACATATGAGTGCCAAAGGAAAGACAGGAAACCCTGACTTTCTTATTCATTTATAATTACATGTATGTGTTACGCCGAATCCTACACACACACATTTTGATTGGTCCTTACTTACGATCTATGGGGGGTAGACGCATAGGTGACGTCACTTTGACAGCATTTTGCTTTTTTGTCAAATAAAAAAAATGGATTCCATCTGTCTATAACAGATCACGTCAAAAGGTGGTAAGAGCACCAGTGGCACACCCGCCTGCGGCTCTAATTAAGAAATGGCAAACACCACAGCGTACACTATTGAGTTATGGATGCACGCGGGAGGTTGCTAAGCACGAAGCATAAGAGTCGCGCAAGGCGATAGCCGAGAGCGACTCTAGCTTCTCGAATGCTTAGCAAACCTCCCAAGTGCATCCACAACCCAAAGGAGTACACTGTAGCATTTACCATTTGTTTTATAACATAACGTAGATACACTGTAGTAAAAGAGTTTTCTTTCATTTAGATGCCCAGAAAAAACAAGCGCGCGCGGAAAAAGAGTCTTTGCATTTGCTCACGTCAGCAGCGTACACCCATGTCCAAATTGAATTGACCAGTGAATTGACCAATCAGAGCTGAAGTGACCAATCAGAGCGCGCTTCACTTTGGTTATGTTTTAACGCCATTTTTTATTGTTTTTACCACATTTTGACGTCATCTGTAACTTAACTTCCGGTCTAAGTCGCCGTCGCCCATTGCGTAAGGTGGCTGAACACAGTTTTCGCGCGCGCTTTTCGTGATGCAATTCAGCGCGCGCACATGGATTGTAAAAAACAAACATGCCGTCATTAGAGCGGTCATTTTATTTACTCAACACGTACGCGCACTATCTGTGCTATTTTTCTCTTTAATCTTTTATTACGAAGATATCTTAGAAAAGTTAACGGTGCAGAGAACCCAGCAATTCTCAGCTTTTTCGTCGTTACCGAAAGAAACCGGTTAAATGTAGGGCATGCGTAGTAAGTAAAAAAATTGCGATTGAATGGAAAATTGCTTTCTCGGAAATATGTCTATTTCTTGAGTGACTAGATTTTCTACAAAGTAACAAAACCAATTTTAAGTGCCTATTTATATATATTCATGTCGCCATGGCAACGGCACGCAGGTCACCTTAACTCTCGGAAAAACAAAGTTCATGTTGTTAACTTGCTTGCTGCCAGTTTTGGCGACCGAGAGATCAAGGGTCTTAGAGAAAATGGTGAAAGAAACAAAGGTATCAAAAACTGTGTTCAGCCACTACTGAACAGAGACACGGCAACATGAAATCTATTTGACCCCAACAGCATCACAACTGAATAACTAAAAACATGCATGGATCACAGTTCTAACCATCGTGCAACGTACAAAATAAACTGACACAGTCGTTTATTTCCTCACCCAGCGCCGAGTTCGTTACGAGCTTACGCGCTACAACAATAACAAAAAGCAATAAAGATACTTTGTTGGAGGTATAATGGATCCGCTCTTCCCAACAAAGAGAAGCCATCGGGATCACCAAGATGTTCTTTCCAGTTTGGTCGATTCACTGTACGTTATCGTTTCCAGAACTTTACTTAAATATAATTCTTTTACATAAAATTAATATATTTTTTTCGAAACAGAAATCTCCTTATAGTATGCATGCAAAAGTTCATTAGCTGAGAACTATGCAGAAAGCAAAATTCGACAACTTTCCTTGAAATAACATAAAAATGCAGCTATAAAGTAGTGTCAGGGTACACATAAAGGTTACATCCCCCACCCTCTTCCACCAGAATTTTTTCCCCAAATACGTTTGGATATTTCATTAAATTATTAGAATGGCAGACACCTTATGCATCACGTGATCAACCAACCAGAGCTTTCACTGATTGTTGCAGGCCCCGTGCACGTGTGCAGAAGGTGTTGCACACGTGTTTTCCATAATTGGGCATTAAACTATTCCCCTGGGGATCACCACGCGAGAGGTAAACCGCGTGTTCATTCTACTGAAGACGGAAAGGTTGTTGGTAGATGTAAAGACAATCTAGTTAAAACAAATATCAATTTCAAGATAAAGTAATGTTCAATAATAATAATAATAATAATAATAATAATAATAATTTAATATTTATATTGCACAAATTAACATGTGGATATGATCAAATGCGCATCACAACTTTGGCCGGACTGCATCAGCAGTTTACAAACAATCGAAGGAAACTTATTTGAAGATGCCCCCTCCCCCAATTCCCAGCAAACAGGCCAGACCACATCACAGTAATCTCGTGAGTGGGTTCTTTATCGTCCCCTGCCTAACAAAATTAACTAATTACCATTTATGAAACAAATAAAATCAAAACCTTGATGTTTCAAGCCAGTTATGGACACTAGGACTGCCATCTCTCTCGTTTTTCCCGTAACCATTCTCGTTACTCTCTGACTCGGCCCTTGAGGCTCCTTTGGTGTTCCTACTGGGTTTTCGCGGACCTCGATCAAAGCTTCTGGAACTACTGTGTTGATTAGGGCTTCCAGAGGCCGCACTACGGGTTTCGAAGTCAAGATTTCGCTTGCCAGAATCCGACGTTGGAGTGTCTTTCTGTTGCAGTATCTGTCTCGCCAACGGAGACCTCTGAAGCACGACTCTAAGGTCTTTCAACTCTCCTCTTTCGCCACTTAAAGTTCGGTAAACTGTGTTCACACCCCCAGCAGGAACACTGCAAAAAGGAGCAGCCATGTTCAGAGTCATTCGCGAATAAGATCCCGATTGCGTGAGTCGGGCTGGCTCAGCCGATAAGTTGGGCTAGCTCATTGACTATAATAACAAAGAAGATGCGCTGGTTATCACCAGGCAGCCAGGCTGGCACAATCATTAATTTGTGTCTAGTTTGTTTGTAGAGCGCATTTCAATCGAGTGTCGAAGTAATTGCTATGACCAATATTACAAGGGACCCTCTGAGAACTTCAGGAAAAGACATATAACACAACTGAAGCGCGGGAACACGCGAGTCAGCAAGTCGAAATTATTTTAAAGTTTGAATTTGATTGGTTGAGAGGATTCCCCGTGCCGTTTTTCTACACCAATCACAACGCATAACAGAATTAATGACATCCAAGATCATTTTGGACACTCAGGTGAAAGTGACTCTTTTCAGTGTTCCAATATCTTGGAAAATCAGGCCAGCGCGCTAGCTGCTTGCTCGACATCTCGGCATTCCTGTCCGGCTCATTACAGTACCGTGTAATTGGTCTACTCTAACTAGAGAGTATCATTTCATCCAAAGGAGCTACACCACAATATTTTGAATCGGTTTTGCAACCAAAGAAAGTGATAAAAAAATATATATATATATATCTATTTCGCTGAGGCAGTAAAACACCCGAAAGGAAGGAATAAAGAACAAAGGAACCAGAACGGATGAGGAAGAAAAAGCTTGACATGGATTACAAATGACGCAGGCTAAAAACAGCCCAACTGTGATGTAACTCCTTTCAACATTGGCTATAGAATCTTTGACAGCGAACTGCAAACAGGGTTACGTTAATAAGCTCCTTTTAAATAAAACTGTAAACTATCCAGTCATTTCTACAAATGCGAGTAGAAATGTGCGAGAACTGTCTATGGTGGTCTTACCCATTTTGAGATAAAGGCAGTTACATCGCTTAAAAATTAGTACTTTCCTTTATAAATAGTTAAGATAAATTATACTTCTAGTCTTGGAAATAAAATATTTTTGTGGCCTTGAATGAAAACTTTAAAATAGACACGAGCGTCGATGAACTTAAATCTGGGAAAATATACCACCACACGGTGATTTGTACAACTGGTAACATTTGAACATTAGCGCGTCCAACGTAAAATAAGTCAACAGATTTTCTCTGATTCAAAAGCAACTGCTTCAAAGGCCCTCTCTCCATGAACCCAGTCCGCGACCGGGCAGGCTGGGATCCTAATATCTCACATTTATACTTAAAAGCGTTCATAAGATTTTAAAACGAAATTATATAAAAATAAAGTCTTTTCAATCTCGGTAACAGAGCTGGGGACAAGGGGAAGTAATTTGGTTTAACTTTCAAACTTTTCCTGAGTTTCCTTGCTCAGATGAACAGTCTCTAAAACCTTTTGACAACTAAGTTAGAAAGTCACATAATGAGCCTGCCGAAGTAAACAACGTCACAGTTTCCAGCTTTCCCTATGATTGTCTGTTAAACACAAAGCCGGTTTACTTCAAACAAATAGCTCCATGCTGCAACTGAAGTGACACCTAACCAAGACATTCACCTTCTAAAACTCGGCCCAGGCTTGCTCCTAGAATCACTCTCCTTCCTGTTCGTTTGTGAACCAAACTGCGCCTGTGAGGGTGAACCCTGACAGTCTGAAGCGTGGGCTTCAATTTCTTTAGTGTTAAAATGCTCAAAACATAGCGGGCATTCTACTGTTGATTCCAATACTGCTTCCTCTGTTATTTGGTCTGGCTGGTTTACTTCGAAGTGATCTTGAGAGCTGAAATGCAAAGGAGCGTGATTAATAATAGCATGGTGCTGTATTTAAGTCATCCAGGACTACTTTGGGTTCAATGATCTTTACCTTGACGAACACGCTTCAAGCAATCCTCTGCGTGTCTTCGTCGTCTTTAGTCTGTTCTCTGCAGCAGCTGCTGCTCTGTCAGCTGCTTCTGAACGCTTCTGCTTTGCACGCTGATTCTCAGTCACTTCAAGACGATGATCTTCCTCAACAAAGCTCTCTTCTGTCTGCTTTACTAAAGAACTTGTAGCCGTCAATGAAACTTCTTTATCTTCACGTTCACCCACAGCCTCAGGTTCTCTGTTCAGTTTACTGGACGTTACCTCAGGGTCGCATAAAGCTTCTGACGGCATCAGTTCATCATTTTCCTTCTCCATCTTCTCCAGAATACTCCTGCTAAGCATGGCTTGGGATTCGCTTGGTAGCGACAACGTTTGAGACGCAAGATGATCCCCTACATTCCCTTTCTGCTTGCTAATTTTAGTTGCAGCTGTCCTCGTGCCTTCCTTCTCTGTTGTAGTCGGTCTCTCACAATCTACCCCCGTTTCACTTCCCGGGAACCGAACTGAAAAAATCGGCTGAGACCCATCGTTTTCATCCTCAGTAGAGTCATCCTCGATAAAAGGCCGCAAAAGAGCCCTTTGCCTTGCAGGCCGAATAATATCACCTTGGCTCTCTTGTTCAGTTTCCATCAAGCAAACATTACCTTCAACTTCCCCACCGTCCGGTAAAATGTCAGTTTTACTCGCTGAACTTTCAACGTCAGCCTCGCCTTTAGGCTTTGTAGAATTATCTAAAATTTCTTTTTCTTTTTTACCTTTCTGAGGAGAGCTACCCATAGCATTTGACTGGAGTTCATCTGAGTCTAAATGGATCGACATTTCTGAGTCACGAATTTCTACATCGGCAGGTTTCCTACTCTCCTCTTTTGGATCAGTACTGTGCGAAGCATTGCAATAAACTCCACCCTTGCTCAAAGTTGGTTTTTTCAAAAAGGATTTTCCATTCAAGCTAGCCTCTCTTGTTTTCAAAGTCTCTACAAAGTCAGAAATCTTTCCACTTCTCACAGAGCTCTTCAGTGTTTTCTTAGCTGAGGAGTTCTTATTGGGTGTACATAACTGATCTAAATAGGACTCCCTAAAGCCGTCATCACCGTCACTATCACTTTCTATTCTAAACGGAGGTGCAGTAGCTGTACTCGTTGATTTACTGCTGGTAGAGAAACTGGTGGGTTGCTGAACCGTAGTACTTGAGCTTCTCAAAGTTCGTCTCCGCTCAGAAGTTTCACTGTCTGAATAATTCCTAATTCCCGGGCTTGTTTCTGTGGAGAAATATTCAGGTCTGATTATCAAAACAAATTTTAGCCGTTGTTTCACGAAACCGCGTGTCAAACAGTCCTAGCTGAACCTTTTATCTGAACATTTATTTTTGTGAACAGCGTCAAGGGCCAGAAGCTAACAGTACGAGGACGTTTATTTAATTAAATCGACCCTCTCATAGAGAAAAGCTGAGGTCCACTGATCGCGTAAAACCGTGGTCTGGGTCAGACCTCGCGTAAATAACCAGCCCTAAGATTCCTTTGAGAGTCACATCACTAAAAAGCAACTGTTAGTCACAGTATTCAAATACCATAGCCTCAAATGAACATGAGGATACTACTTTGTTGCGTTTTGTTTAACCCTAGTAATTCGAGAAAAAACATGTGATTTCTCATTACATTATCAACCTTGAATCTAACATTAGGATCATGAGAAAAAATGGAAATGATCGTAAACTCAAGACGCTTTTGACTGTTATACAAATTCTCCTTGTGGGCACCATAGGAAATGTATAGGGAACAGTATCGAGAACTTGCATACTGATGTTAGGGCTACCAAAGAAAATTTGAAAGCCTTGTACTTCCTCGCGGGCTTTATTGTCACTTTTATTCGTATTCTTATTTAATTTCTAAAGGCAATAATTAACTTTAACTTAAAATTCCAAAGAGGGGCGTGCTTTCGCTACACTAAAATTCAATCTCTGGTTGATAGAGAAAACTCGCATCCGCTCGACCAATCGAAGGCAACTTGAAACCAACAGCGTCTCTGTTATCTTCACTTTATCAAAACGTAGATACTGCACACAGTCAGATTAGACGAAAACTTACCATTTACTGTACCAGTAGGCCTAAAGCTACTGAAAAATCACCAATAGTTCGCACTTTCTAGCGGTTTGTGGCTGTTATGACTCACAACGGATACCGAGGGAGCACTCGAAAAGTGTGAGTGATTTTATAAGAAATCTCGTATTTTTCTAACAGCTAGTCTCCTTGGGATCAGTAGTTTAGTCTTAGCACGGGGTGGAGAGCGTGATGCGTGACGGGAGCCAACGATGGAAATGAGGTCACAAAACAGGCGTCGCGAACTCTTAGACCAGCAAATGGTCATGTGGTCATTACTCGATAATTCTGTTATTTCACCTTATTAAATCACTCACCTCCACGTAAGGACCCTCTGACAAAAGCTGAACCTCTTGTTCCAACAGAGGTAGTAGTCTTCGCCGAAAGAGGTTCCAGCGTGTCCCCTTGTCTACTGCCGGCCACCACAGGGGAACCCCAGGGAATGAGCGTTTTGACTCTGGACTGCGCCTTATGTAGTTGCCTTCTGTACTTCTCAAACATTCTTATGATGATTCGAGTATACGCTGGAATGTTCACACCGGGAGGTGCGAAATACAAATTGGCCTTCATAGCATCCTTTAGAGTGGTGGGTCTGTACTGCACATTCTTGTATTGGCGAGATAGACGAACTGTTAATGCTGAAGACTGTGGATGGAAATGAAGGCTGTAAGTATAAAGGTAAGTTTAACATAATTATCACTGAATAAAGGCTGATAGTTTCGAAAGAAACTGTTTGGGGCTGCGTCGGTGGGAGTAACGAGATAATTTGGATATATCAACAAAGTTGAAGTGGTAAATTGGCCGCCGTAACGATTACAAAAGCTGACGTTTCGAGCGTTAGCCCTTCGTCGGAGCGAATCTGTACTGTAATCGTTACGGTGGCCAATTTACCACTTCAACTTTGTTGATATATCCAAACTATTAACATATCACTGTCTCTTTAAAGCACGTTTGAGCACTGTAATGCGAGTATATTTTCTGTACTTACTGCCATTCTTTTAGGGGAAGGATCATCAATTCCATCAGGTGATCTTTTACAACCTTTCTTGTTCACAGCTTGCGATTCATCNTAAGTTTAACATAATTATCACTGAATAAAGGCTGATAGTTTCGAAAGAAACTGTTTGGGGCTGCGTCGGTGGGAGTAACGAGATAATTTGGATATATCAACAAAGTTGAAGTGGTAAATTGGCCGCCGTAACGATTACAAAAGCTGACGTTTCGAGCGTTAGCCCTTCGTCGGAGCGAATCTGTTAGGTTGTTTTGTTTAGTTCTGGGAAAAATTTACCGCCGGATTCCCTTTCTTCTATCATGATAAACACGTTATAATATAACACACGCACTGTAATCGTTACGGTGGCCAATTTACCACTTCAACTTTGTTGATATATCCAAACTATTAACATATCACTGTCTCTTTAAAGCACGTTTGAGCACTGTAATGCGAGTATATTTTCTGTACTTACTGCCATTCTTTTAGGGGAAGGATCATCAATTCCATCAGGTGATCTTTTACAACCTTTCTTGTTCACAGCTTGCGATTCATCTGAATCACTGTCGTACACGACTGAAATTAGTTTCTGACGTTTCGGAAGATCTTTCTTTTTCAACACTAGAATTGGTTCATCATCATCTGTATTATCATCATCATCATCGTTTAGTTCGAGTTTGCGTTTTTCTCCAGCGTTATTACCATCTTCACTCTTGGACTTTCCCCTGTAAGATTCTGTATCATTGCCCTTGACCTCTTTCAAAGTAAAATCATCGTCTGATATTTTTTCTGTCAGGTTTGGCAAGCCTGATTCGTCCCTCTTGGTTCTTCTCAATTTCAACTTTCTTCTTACGTCCATCTTGTCCTGTCTGCTGAATGAAAAGTGTTTACAACTTAACAATCCCGTGGAAATTAAAAAAAACATCAACTTCCATTTGCCCCAAAAATATGTTGGAGCATTTGTATGCAAACATTATCTGTATTCCCTTAAGCGCATATATTTTTCTGAGACTAGAGATTAAGGAAAGCTGAAGAGCTTTGAGAAAGAGATAAAGTTCCAGGACAAATAAATGATCTCAACTATTTTCCCATCAAATGGAGAGAACTGTGTCCATTATCCTCCACTAATTTTATCTCTTTCGCAATGAGTGAAAGACAACAATTACTAAAACTGTATCATCACAAATATTCCCTGTGTTGATGACGACGTTTTAGTTTTCCTAGTGACAGCTTCAATGACAAACAAGTTTGTGTCTTCTCATGTATAAAATACCAAACAAAGACTTTCAATGAATTTGTTGCAAGGTAGAAAAGTTACAGAATATCACTCGAACGTTCTCCGGTATTGGTTGAAGTATATTCAGTCGGATGATGCATTTGCATTCATCCCATACACGCAAAAATAAATGGTGGATTAAAAATACATGTGCGAGTATCACAAAAGGTTTGCCATTTAACCCTTTGCACCTAACATCAGTATGCATATTCTCCATACCGTTCTCTATACATTTGTGCTGACAAGGAGAATTTCTTCATATTGTAAGGAGAAATTAGATGCTAGTCACCTTAGGGGTCAAAGAGTTGAGGAACATGGGGGGAGGGGGTAAGGAGAAATTAGATGCTGGTCACTCTTAAGGGTCAAAGAGTTGAGGAACATGAATGGGGGGGGTAAGGAGAAATTAGATGCTAGTCACTCTTAGGGGTCAAAGAGTTGAGGAACATGGGGGGAGGGGGTAAGGAGAAATTAGATGCTAGTCACTCTTGGGGGTTATGGATTAACCCTTCAAGCGACCTAGATATCAAGCAGACAAGTAATGAGAATAAGGAAAAAAGAAAATCAGGGGATTATCACTGAGTTGATCAAATACCAAATTCTCCAGACTAACATCATAAGAACTGTATGGCAGACAGTAAGGAGATTTGCTGATGAGATCTTGGGAGTGACAAGGTTAAGTGTTGTAATCTGGCGATATCATGAAGGACCAGAGTCCAGTTTGTTAATCAGTAAGTTTTCATCTCAGCCATTCAGCATCCTTCCATTGACTTTTTCAGTTCTCTGACATTCAGACTTTCTTACAAAGAAAAGAAACCAACCCGAGATAAAATAACAATTATGTGACAATGTTACAACATACCTGGAAGAAGAGCCAGCAGGATGGGAACTTAACTCTTTTCCACTGTCATCCTTTGGGTTGGTGTCATTTGACCTCACCGTGACAGGTAAAGGGGGGCTACTTGGATGGTCTGTGTCATTGTCAGCATTCTTAGGCACCTAAACAAACATCACACATTATGTGGTAGATTTAGTATATAATAAAATTAATTACTTTTCAAGAGAAATGTTACACTTACCATTATTTTGTCTAGATTTTCTTTTCCTTCAGGAGGAGTTGAAAACAAGTCTGGGGATTCAGCACGCCCTCTTTGATCTTCTTCACTACCTGCAATTTTTTTTTAACTATTAGTAATTTGTATCACGTATTCATTGCACAATAATAACCCACGTGTTTTATTTTTATAGTGCAACTGCTGTCATCAGAGCTACTCACACAAAACTGACCAAATTCAGGCTTCCTGTCCTGAACACCGATTGGAATAGAAGTTCATTTCCTGTGAAAACTAGTTGCATTGAAACACATTTTAATCAAAATTACTCTTATTTTATGAATTTGGGATCAGATTTAAACAGTTTGTGACTGCTGCAGTATTGCTACATGTATTCCATCACAAGTAACCTCACAGAAATTTATTCAGCTTTTCCAAACAGTTTTCTATAATAACTTTTTCATACATATGGATAGAGAGAGGACAGGTTAAGTGTGAGTTAAGTGTTTGGTCTGAGGAAACAACACAGTCAATGAGCTGGTCATAGCTTCTCACCTTCATTACTTCCCTGGAAGATTCAGTGCGGTAAGCATGTAACCATTACCTGTCCCTCTGCATTCATGTGCTATGACTCTCACTGCTACATACATTTGATCAAAATTTGCCAATGTTTAATTACAAGTATTTAACAAAATACATGAAAACCAACATACCTGTGGTTCTTTTTGAAGATTCTTTCACAGGAGTTTTCTGTCTGTCTGACTTAAGGGGCTTAATTTCCCCTTGAATATTATTCATCTTAAAAACAATAGCCATAAAAATATTTGTTAAAAGGATTCACATCAAATGTACATATGGAAACCAAAGTAAACAAAGCATGCATATACATGTCAACAGTTACAGAAATGTAAATCATGTTTACTTACAAAAGTTACTGATCTACTTAATATATAATTCATGTTTACTAGCTATCCAACTTTACATTGTGTTTTTTTTTTTCTTTAGCCAATAGTTTTATTGTATCATTACTGTAATCAGACATGACATTGCAATCAAACATAACACTTAGCATAATGACGCACTACCCACAAATAGCAGAACTAGTCTCGGCGGGTAGTGTGTGGACAGTAAAACATCTCAAATAAAATTCGGCTCAACAAAATATTCAATAAATATACAAGAAACAGAAATTAAATATTAAATCAGTAAAGCACAAATGACAGTATGAGATAAAAATACAGAAACAGAAACACATGACAATAAATAGAAGAATACAGAAGTTATACACTACTATTAACTGGATTTAACATTCGACACATCATTGATTATTCGTTCCACGTCAACATAACTATCCTGAACTTGAAGATTTTGAAATAATATTGTTGTAATCTTTTTTTTGAAAATATGTTTTGGAAGATTCCTTAAGTTTCCTGAGATGCTATTCCAAATTTTGCAATCAATCCTTGAGAATGAATTTTTATGTTGATTTAGCCTAGAACAGTTTATGTAATAGTTACCAGCAGATGAAGATCGGGTATTATGATTGTGTATTTGCCGGGAAAGAGTGAACATACCAGAAATATTAGGGGCATCATGCATTAAGAAAGAAGAGAGTTTAACGTAAAGCATATTAATTGGCATAATATTAGCCAATATAAAATAAGGAATGGTGTGTGAATTATAGTTGGCAAAGTTCATTAATCGCATAACCCTTTGCTGGAGTATCAATATTTTTTCCATACGAGACTTAGCTGCTTGGCCCCAAGCGACAAGGCCATATCATGATAAATAAGGATAAATGAGTGATCTATATGTATTTAGTAACGTCAAATATGGTACACGATGCCTTAGTCTGCAAATTATACCAATGCCTTTACTTATTTTTGATGCAATATGACTGATATGATGTTTCCAGGTAAGGCTACTGTCAATAAGTACACCTAAATATTTCAAATAGTCTTTACATTCCAGGCAAACGAAATGCTTTCTGTTATTATCATATATTTTTAGATTTACTTTATAATTAAGTCGTTTCTGGCTGGGATGGAAGATGACAAAATTGGTTTTCTTCACATTTAAAGAGAGTTTATTTGAGGCTAGCCAATCATAAACATTCATTAGTTCCACATTCACCACTGTTTCAAGAGATTTAAGGTTTCTGTTGGCAAACAGCAGATTTGTATCGTCAGCGAACAAATAAAATGTCTCAAGAAGCCTGTATTAAATTCAGACCTTCTACAGGATTTAGACCAACAAAGATCATTCAATAACATCCCTGCATTTCATTTGTTTATAACTCAATAGATCATACCCACAATTAAACTAACATGCACTAGTATGTGTGTTGTTTTGTAATGGTAATTGAACTGAGTGGAGTGCAATTTGGGCTGAAATCATACGCCTGATTTCAAAATCGAACCAGCATGCAGCACGAGTTAGATTTGAAATCACAAGTATGATTTCAGACCAAAATTGCACGACACGAGGTTCAATTACCACTTTATTACATCCATTTTGAAATCGCCCAAATACAGGACTTGTTCAAATCAAATATTTTACTGATGCAGTACTAAGCCGGTTTTTAAATAAAAAGAGGAACTGGAAACGCTTTTACATCTTATTTTGTATGCAAAACAGAAAGACTTTGATGTCATGTGTCAAAAACTCAGTCAAGC